AATAGTGAACGAGGATAAGTACACACCTATTTCAGCCTTGTTGTGACTGACTCATCAGCAGTGCGTAGTACTCTTGGTTCGCTACCAAGACACGCATGGGGAATCTTAGGGCTGGGGTTTAAAACCCCTACACGTGAACTGGTGGCTAACTCGATAGTTACTCAGGAAACCAGATTCCGATCAAGGAGCTTACAGTGCACCATGGTTCCGGAAACCCACAGACATTCGCTAGATTGCACTTGTTCCTAACCTGCTGTTGCTTGGTAATTTATCGTCTCAACCTGTAACAGCCCGTCTATAACCTGTCCACACTTCCGGGTCGCGGTTCTCTAAAGCTTAACGACATTTGGGTGTGCGTTTGCTCATAGTTTCGTAATGTTTTACATTACTGCCTCTTATTATCCACTTCGTGTGCTTTTTAACCATTTTATTATCATTTAAATAATTGAATTAGAGCGTATTCTGTAGTACCACAGAATTCCCTGGATCTTGCAGTATCGCGATCTGTTTACAGCCGGATACTGGAGTACTCCCTCCAGGTGGGATTCGGCTCATAAACTATATTTCATTTGTATTCTCATATGTTCACACTTTGGAGAATTATGAGCTTAAAACAATTCACGTCCATGCTTACATAAGGTCTGTGTTCTCCGACAGACATTCAGCCAGGAGATAACATGATAATTCGAAATCAATTCGACATAATTCTGATTGTTTTTGACGTATTCTTGAAAGAAATCAATCAATCCTATAAGTAAAATCATGATCATACATACTGATGAAGGCCGAAATGATCTTTGTCAATTTTAAATGGTGTTATCAGTTGTTTGATAAACCATCAGAATAAAACGAAATATTCAGACTAAGATAATATTCCCCATGCGAAAAGGGTATTCAAAAATAAACCGGTTCGATTCGATCGTTTTCGGTGAACACAGACTGACTACTAATGAGTAGTATGAGCATAAATAATTACACACTAAAGGTTGACTAAAATCCATTAATTTTTAGGAATGCAGTACAGTGTTGTAGAATGGTTATTAGTGAAGAATCTAGTATGATAACCCTTATTTGTTCAGATATTCAGCTAGACAATCTTAGTATCCCATAAGGGATAAACCCGATCGCTATTCACAACCCGCTGTTCAAAATATCCGGTGCACCAGTGTGCCTAGTGATTGGACAAAGGGGTTCCACGCATAGATTTCTTTAGTGAACTCATGGAGAGGTTTCTGATGGGTGCTCTTCGTGATTATGTTATAGCAAACAGCGACTTCCAAGACGGCTAATCATTTTCATTCCGAATAAACAATAACAGTTTATTGCTGTCTTTATTTTTCTATTTGAAATGAATATTTGAGGTGCATTATTTGAATGACTTTCGATTTCCCCGCACGCTTGTCATTCGCATGCGTTATTCTGTGCCTGACTAGTATCTCCCTCCGCCTCGGCTCCCATCCTCAAAGATGTTGTTGATCACATCACGGATATGAATTATTGATTTCTCTATCGGGCTAATGGGTCGAAATAAAATGATCAACTGTGGACAAATATACATTGATCGGTCGATGAAGGAGGCTGTTGTTCAGCATTGCATTTTCAAGCGTGTCCTCGCCAAGTTTGACAGCTAAAAGTTCATTGTTTCACTCAACCGTTCAAGAAGATTTCCGGATGAGATAATACTCACGTGATTCGTGAATTTAAAGATCGCACAAAGAGAGACGGATAAATACTTGAGATAGAAAAATTGAATTGCCGATAACTGACGCGGTGATGGTTAAAATAAAAACCGTGAATGAGATATTTTTGCTGCTTTTCCGTTATTTTTGTATTGGTTCTTCTAGTGCTTCTTGATCACTTGTCCCACACTGTGGAAATATCAATGTCCCAACTTCATTCAAAAAATCCTAGTTTAAAGTATATACGAAAGCGGAACGTTCCTGTCTGTGTGCTCCGTATTTTCCATCCTATCAGAAGTCAGCATACTAACCCCCATCGAATTCCCGATGATTTCGTTCCGGTGAGCATAACCCGGGGATTATTTTCAGGCAAACTGTTGACAAGTGGAGTTTGGTCCTCACCAATGTCACATCCCGGTCCTTTGCGATTTTATGAATATTCTCCACTGTTTTTTTATTGTCAATGCGCTCATCCGGTGCAAAGGAATATAGAGGGTATTTCGTTCAAATCCCTCATTTCGACCTGAAAGTAACTACCCTACCTGGTATAATTTCATCTTTTAAGTGACTTCCAAACCAATCCTATACCCAAATGGGTGTAATTCCATCGATACTCTGAAAGCCTATGTCTTACTTTCTGCAGGTCATTGAACAAGTGATTCCAGTCTGATTTGAATTGTACATGATTACAGGGAATAGTTGCATTGTCAAAAAGTCCGAATTACGATTTCGATACTTTGATCCAGGCTTATGTATGGTCCTTTAGTTGTCTCATGTAACAATTTACTTAAACAGCCCTCAATATACTGTGCGCTGCTCCCAAGGAAAGCTATGTGACTCGTTTTTCGACATGTAACGATTCATCTGTGTAAATATCCTATGGGACAAGAGAAGAACGAGCTTGTAAGTTATTTCCATAACGAAACTTTGACTTTGACTTTAAAATATCTGGTATTCCCTTCCCGGTTCGGTTCACTTGAGACGAACTGTGCTACACAACGAGGATAACTATCTCGTTCACTTTGCTGTTTGGCATGCAATCAGTTGTGAGCAATGGGGTTAAAACGGACGTCCCTACTAACTTCAATTGACCCACCTAACCATTTCCAGTCCGAGTACATTCCTCATTTCGCGTGTCTCCATCTGGATGGGTTTGTATGTCACCTGTGCTTTCATTTGCCTCCATGGTAGGGGGCCTATTTTGATGCATATGGCTTTATAAGCAGTACTCTGAAAGTGTTGGATAGGTGGATGGTACATGTGCTTCATATTGGTTAACAACTGTCCACAATGGATATCCACTGAGTTGTACTCGCAATCAGAGGGGCTAGAGTTCGAGTTGACTTTAGTGAGTGGCTGGTAATGCTTATGCAATTCAACACAACGTTTCCAAAGCTTTTCACCGGGCCGGGTGAGATGCTGCAGTTGCCAGAGCGATCAATCAATTTCCAATCTCACGAAAAAAAAGATAAATTGTTATGGTTCACATGCGGAAGGAACCCGACAAAATNAATTCTAAATCACGATTCATTTGCACTGGTAGTGATATTTTTTGAGCTTATCTGCTACTCGTCTACTTGATGCCAATCTCTAAGGACAGAGCATCACGCACTGGCTCCCAAATGCATACCCACCGAACCCTAATGAGTGACTAGATAGGTAGTTCCAATTGCGCCACCACCACTCCACGGGGTGGAGTATGGTGATTGTCATACACCATGATCTGGTTTGCTTAAAACAATCGACCAGCCCTGTGGACAGTACAATGAATCATCCCACTGAACCACGTCACCAATATGGTCACGGTGTCCCGTAAAAGCATGTGTAATAAGTGATGTGTTCACGTGTCACACTGTCTATGTGTGCGTCTGCAAGGAAATTGGACACGGGAGAAAGTTAGCGCCAGAGAACATATCTTGGGGCGTGTTTCTCAATGTGATTAGCTTATTAGCCTGGCGGGACTGTACAGACGGTAGAGTTACAGTTAACCAATGGAAGAGAGTGGAACAGGGTTAGAGTGTAAACAGCATGAACTCTATTCAGAGTTGCCTTTTCACCGGGGAGGGAGGCAGGGTAAGTGACTATTCCGGTTTATCCAACCATACGTGTCTAGTCTACCAGTGAATGCTTTCTAATCTCATCAGGACGAACTAAGCATGAAAATGGCAACTAAGTGTGCGGGATTAGTGACAGGGCGAGGGCACATCTTGAAAGGAGACATGAAGAAAGTTGGAACAGACGGACGGGGCAGATTGCAATTGCAGCGGTTTTGCACCCCAACTACAACTGTTTGGCGTCAAGAATGGGACCAAGATGCCAGCAGCAGTTGCGCAGGTTTATTCTCATGAAGCGGTTGGGTTGGGTTGGGGGACCTTGGTGGGGAAACATCAAGTGAAATAACAAAAATCTTCATCAGATTTTTCCCGAATGCGTTTATGACCAGTGTGCCTAGTTATGTACCCGGCCAAACACACAGGCAAACACACAAACACGAATTTGTATGCTAAAGGGAAAAAAAAGTAGATGGAGCAGATTGCACGATAAATAATGAGAATTAGTGATGATGGGGATAGTTTCATTCTTATTCTCTTCTGTATGCATCAAATTTACGCGTTCTGTTTGATTAATTGTTGCTTCTTAGTTTGGGATGAACTTCAAGACTATGCGTAGTCAATAGTTACAAAATTCAGATCGTTGATTTCGATTTTGTGTCATTCATTTGATTTTCTAACAAACGGCATTCAGTAGCCGATCCTTATAGGAATGTTTGGATTAGCCACAACACGCGAAAACCAAAAAAACCAATTTTGGGGTTGACGACGTTTGGTTAATGTTTGCTTGTTAATGGACTTGAAAAAGGTCTTCCAAGAGGGTCGAAACGTCATCAACCGAAAATTGTTTTATGTTTTGGTTTTCTCTCATTATGGTTAATCCAAACATTCGTATAAGGATCCAATAATATGAGAACGACTCACAATTTCTTCAAAGACATCCGTTCGAAATTTGGATCTGATACCGCGGCATTCAGTAGCTATCGATTTTCAATGGGACAGTCGAGAAAGATCAACAGAGGTCAACACCTTCGCTAACTTCTTTGTGTTTCGTTGCGCGGTTTCAGACTGAACAGTGTTACTTCTGTTCCAGTCAGTCCCTAAAAATGAAAACAGTGCTCGGCGGAAAAGCATAGGTGTTATGCTATTTTATTGGTCTTTATCAGGTTGGATTTCACTGTGCACTGTGCAACTCTTTATTCTGCAATATTTGTAAATCAGAAGAACAAAACAAACGCACAAGATCACACAACTCTACCTTCCATAATAGATGAATGTCAACTTTTTCAATATACAATTTCACCACCAAAATTCACGAAAGGAGGCATGGCGGATTCAGTCGCAGTCACGTGATGATGATGATGATGATGATGATGATGATGATGATGATGATGATGATGATGATGATGAGATGATGATGATGATGATGATGATGATGATGATGATGATGATGATGATGATGATGATGAATGATGATGATGATGATGATGATGATGATGATGATGATGCTTATGATGATGCTTATGATGATTTAAACATACTTCCTTTTTAGTTTGACCGCAAATTCCAACAGAGCAGACAAAGTTGTATCAGTCATCACGATGGTGGATGGAACAATTGGCCCAGGTAACTCGAAAAGAATTGCCAAATAAAACGAAAATAACCGATGACAGAATGAAGTCTATGATACAAATCATAAAATGAACTAAAAAAATAACTGAGAAACCACGGGTAGTTGTTGTGAGGATTTTTTAGAATTTGAGCAGCAATGTGCTTCCATCGATTAAAAATTCTACTACTGATACTACTACTGCTATTACTACTACTACTACTACTACTACTACTACTACTACTACTACTACTACCATTTTTGGTCTACTCTCTCCATTAAATGTGAACCAGTCAGCTTTCCGGATAAACTAGTCAAGTCAAGAAATCGCTTTATCTACATCGAAGGGGTGGATATTCAGCAACCGCATTACCCAAGTGTGTAAACAATTAAAAAATCTAAATAAAATACATTAATTAAGAGAAGTGACACGCAAAGTAACATCAAAAAAACCGATGGCATACCAGTGTGTTTAGGATTGGTTTAGTTTAGCATTTTGCACAGATTTTTTGCAACGAGTTCATAGTTTGTAAGGAATCTGGCAAGATACGGTACAATAAAGCGCCCTTAAGCGAGTGCCTTTATACGTTTATGACTGGAACGGGTGGATAAATAAGGAAGGCATTGACAAAGAGCAGAATAAAGCGGATGCAAAATATCAGATAAAATCTTATTGGGGAATATTTTACAGGAATTGAGTTGGTGTGTCACCACATACTGTACCAGATGTTTCCGTGGTATAAGACTAAAGACCGACAGAAACTTGAAGGATCAGGAACTCAGTTTGAGGTCCTTGTTAAAACTAACGGAAAAGATAACAGGGGACTTTTCAGACGTGAAACGTAAAACGTGAAGCTCCTGACATTCATAAAAACGTTATTGACGTGATCAGACCAGGTGAGGTCACGGTTGAAAATAACACCAAGATATCTGACAGATGGTTGTTGATCCATCTGGTCACGGAAGATATACAAAGGTGAGCTGGCATTTGACCTTTCATTATACTTTTGACCTTTCAAAAGGAAAAGATTAGGTCATTACAATTTTAGTGGTCCCTGCGGAGGTTCGTTTGTTGAGACCACTTAACTATTTCTGACATGTCTTCTTGCATAGTTGTTTGAAATGATGAGTTGGGATAGGGCACTCCGAGTATTATATCGTCTGCATGCTTAACGAGCAGAGAAGAATTGCTCACAGGCATAGGGGAGATATAAGCAGAAAATAGAAAAGGAGATCAAATGGCGACTTGCAGTACGCCTTGTGAGGAAGAATCGTGCGTATATAGAGTATGGAAAGGCTTCCTTAGGTACCGCTGGGTCATTTCTTAAAGGATGCACCATTTGTTTTTGTAGCGTCAAGTGTCACCTTCCAAGTGTTAATTTTATTTGAATGTTAGGTCCGATTTGTAAACGTCAATGTGCTTTCTGCACAGATTTCTGATGTTTTTTTCAAATGGGGCGGAAACTAATCACGTACATAAACCGCGATACCAACCCCCGTCTGCCCAATGTTACCAGTTTATTCAGTAAGACAATGCTCACTTTTTCGCAGTTGATCATCTACATAACTAGTCTTACCTGCAACCTAGAGAAATCCTATATAAGACTTACGTTGATAGAGGATCCGACAAGTACTACACTCATGTGTACATTTGAAACTGGAACATTACAGAAAGGCGGTGGCAGAAACCTTGGACTGATTTTCATTTAAGTTCCAAGGCTCAAGTAATCGATCAACATAAATAAGTACTACAGTTTATCAGGTCTGTCGGAGTTATCGCCTGTTCTCTTCGTCCCGATATCAGTCATGTGATTTGTATCCTCAAAATTTTCATATTCAGCTAACTCATAGCCAACATAGTATGGTAACAACGGTGAACATGAATGAGGTTTGCTAACACGATAGAGATAATGAAAGCAGTGTTGTTAATTTTTGACAAAATACATTCTGTTTGGAGTATCAGGCTTGGATCAGCTCATTCGATTGTCCAGAAGCACCAGGCTCTCTTGATGGTCTTGATGCTGTGGGTTTCACCTCTTGGTAGGTCGTTATTTCCCCACTGTTTGTATGGATTTAAATGTGATGGAAATGTTTGTGATAACCAATAAAGACCACTTGTCAGCTGTTTCGTCCCGTTTGGGACTCGTCAGTAGTGATTACTTTACGTATCTGTGTCAGGTCTCGAACCGCGAAACTTGGGGTTGTGACTTCAAACCCCTATCCCTGAGCTACATGACCGGCGGTCACCACCTTATGTGAATGGCTCAATCAATTTAGAGTATCAAGCTTGGATTAGCCCATTCGATTGTTCAGCGGCACCAGGCACTCTTGATGATTTTCGGTCGAGTCCGGATAGGGACACAAAATGTGCACAATGCTGACGAGTCCCAAACACGAGGACGAAACCGCTGTCCTGGTGCTCTTTGTCGGCCACCGCATTTGAACGCAAGTGACGCCTTGTGGGGAAATTTGAACGATCCCTTTGTCTTGATCTGTCCGTTCCTATTGATTGCCTGATCACCTGATGCACTTGACCCACACTGATCCCTGACCCAGTGTCTTCCGAAAATCATTCAGCTCGAATGATGATCGAAACTCAAACCTATCCTAAAGACAGAATACAAGTGCCTATTCACTATACTCGGGAACACAATCAAGCTTTTCTTTATTGTGTTTACGCACTTACGCTCATCAAAACTATGCCACACTTCGCACAAATTATTGCGTCATTGTATCACTGAGCATTCAAGAATCATAATTCAACTTACTTACTGTCCTAGCCAGACTGTTCTTTGACGTGATTTGATATTTTTTGCTCGCATCCATGAAAGAAACCACACAAGTTGACTTTTCACACTGATTGGGCTGGGAATCTGACACATTGGAGTTCATGCATCTACTCACTGCATACCCGTAGGTCTAGTCACCTTGTTGGGTCCCATCGGATGTACGGAATTGAATTCCAAACACGTTCTCTAATCGATTCAAGCTTATGTAATCGATTTGGGGAAGTCAAAATGAGCCAGGACCACTAGGATAAGAACTGATTTTCACCACTTACAGTCTACCATGAATGAACACACTCACAACCTATTAATCCAATTAGAATTGTTTGAACTGTGAAACCAAGAGCATTAGAATAACTTGATGGGGTACAAAAAGTGTTGGAACATCGAGTGCCTATGCCCTACCCGACTTGGCCGAACCATTGTTGTCCGACTTAGAAGGACTATGGGCAACCGGGGTGAACCAGATGCAATACTGTGCTCCACTAAAATGGATTGAGAGACGAATTGCGGACAAGAGAGAATATTTCAGCATGAACTTAACTTGACTTAAACTTAAACATCTCTAATCACATCTTCATTGAGTGCAGTAAAATAGCGGTTGTTTGATGTTCAGTTCGTGGTAGAGTAGTTACCATAACTCCTTCAAGAACTGTTCCATCTTTTCTTGTCTGGTTCGCAGATGCAGGACACTATGGTCAGAGTAATCAAGCATAAACACCGGTAATAGGCTTGTGAAGAAGGGGCTTATACCACGGACCTGGCACATAGACAGTGCGAATCAGCAGTGCTCCGCTATTCGTCAGTCGAATGCGTCCGAGAAAGGAGTCTCGTGCGTTGACTCATCACCTGGTCGAATGAATGGAACTAAATGATGGTAAATAAAGTCACAATGCAATGCACCTCGAGTTTTCTAGATTTATGCACTAGGTTTTCACTTGTCTGCTCAATTCCTATCAAACTACTTAATGTTCTTTTAGAAATGAGAATGGTGCACGAAGGATATGTTTGTTGGGCTGTGCTAGAGGTTGTTTGTCCATATCTTCTCTCTCAATTTCTTCGATGAAAGCTCCAGATTTTTGCGTCACATTCTGTATTTATGGGAAAGGCAAGTGATTGATGTTCTTTGGTGCCTAACACCATGTTAAATCTAGTGTTCTAGCTATTGTCTATTAATTGCCATGCGTACAATATCTTTGAAGTGACTCCCTGAGTTGTGTTTGAGTCTATGTAAAGATTATCAGGAATTAATCATGCACACTTTGGAAAGAACAACAATAAGTGAAGATTTTCTCTCAAGCAAATTCGTACAGTTCCATTCGAGGTCTTTTGGTATTGGACTAAATTTCTTTGCGTAGAATCCAAGTGCTTGCTCAGTCCTGAACACCTTCGTGAATCCCCGCAGATACTCGGGGGATGTTTTTCACCTGCCTGTGTCTCTGTCTGTATTTCGGTAGGTGCTGAATGGGTTTCAAGCACTAATGAATGGAATGAAAGGTGCAACCTGGACAACTGGAACGAGACAGTCTCTAATTTCCCATTCATTCATCTGCACTTGGTTGTTTTGACCATGTGCTGTTTGTGCATCCCCCGTGTGTCAAAATCCCGGTCCGTTTTAAGACGACAAGGTCCGGTTACCGAAATGTCACACGTTCCCTTCTTTGGATAGAGGGAGCGAGGCTGGGTGCCATTTCCGTAGTTCTACTGTGCCCATGGGCAACTTTCTTTCCCAATCCGGGGCATCGTATCCTTAAATCAACAGTGCTCGTCCTGTCCCTCAAACAACTGACTGACCGACCAACCGACCGACCGACCTACCGACTATAAGCAGCACAATCACGAACAGGTCAGCTGGTAAAACCCAACATGTATTCATTACAGACAAAAGACGATCCGTTCACTCGTATACCTGAACCAAGTTCGTGAATCCTGTTCGTTCTTCCGCGAGAGGTGGAGACGGGATAAATGCCAAATCGAAGGTGTGTGTGTGTGTGTGTGACTGGATGGAGGTGGTGAGGTGCTGTCAGTGAGACGAGAACACGAAGGCGAGAAAACAAAATTAAACAAAACCTGTTCCAAAATACCGTTCAATTTAGCAGTCTCGTCTACCGCGGAATCTCGATTACTAACATTCAAAGCAGGTCTCTCTCCCTCTCG